GATAGTATCCCTGCTGGCTCCACAGTAATATCCTAAAACAGCTAGCTAGACTAAATATAACTAGGAGCAATAAGATTCCATCATAATTACGAAGATTATTTTTTCTTACTCATAACCATAAAATAGGCAATAAAAGGCATTCATATCTATCTATTTTAAGTCGAAAGCATTATTTAAACTCAAAAAGACTATTTATAAAATATCGTCATAGCCCTACTAAGCTATCGTTATACTTCGACTAATAAGAACAAGGCTTAGACTAGACGGTATCCTAGCTTAGACTGGACGGTATCCTAGTTTAGACCGGACGGTATCCTAGTCGGCTCCACAGCGACGTCCTAAAACAGGCAAGTTTTCATTTTGCATAATATGCTCTTACCCTAGATCACCGTATATAGTGGCCCTAAAGGAAAGCAAGTGCCGAGTTGACCTTATATTTGCTTTTTCATCGTCAGCACGCAAGCTCTTAGCAGGCGCCCCCTAAAACCAGTCATCGTTTCGTAGCCCTATCAGCCCATCCAATCATATATTAAGACTCGAAATTAAGCTCGCCCCTTTACCAGGTCTTGAAGAATACGGCCGTCGGGACGCATTAAATAAAAACATAAATAATACCAAAATACCCCCCCCCCCCCTAGAAATAGAGGGTCTAATAAACCCGCAAATCTATGAGCATGCGATTTTGTTCTGCCCTATCTAAAGATCAAACTCGCTAAGGGGTCATGGCGCCTCCATCCGTTTTATCCGAATCTAAGAAATAGCGAGAACGAAACCGTAGTAGAAAACGGCGCCAATAGTTGCGTCAGCAGAGCCGGGCCCAGCAACTCCTAGAAGCCGATAGCTATGAAACTATCCGGCTCGTGAGCCACGTCTATCACGGAGAGGCCGATATTACCAATAGTTAGTAGGGCTTGCAAATTCAAGTTCTTCCTATCATTAGACTCATAGTCCTATATCCTATTAGATTATCTAGACGAGTATTCCCGTCGGGGCTATCTTGCCACCTCGTTAGCCAGGATTCAGTACCTCCCGCCGGAAACCTCTGCTTTTCGAGATTCCTCTATCGGTTATAAGACTTCTCTATAAGTTCCTCCCATAGCTGCGTTTTCGGCCGCTCCGGTAATACATTCCCCGACAGATACAAGACGAACGAGCAGTATGTTTTGCCCCGACGCTGATTTAACAAGCGCGGCAGAACTATTGATGCAAGGATCGCTCGAGGCTATAGCTGCCGCAATCTCAGGTCCTTTAGACACGGATAAAGAGGTGAGACCTAGCCTTATCAAAACGCGAACTCACGCGACTTCGCGTTCGAGCCTATCATGCTCGCTAATACTTATTGATAATACCGCAGACTGCCTAGCCCTAGGATAATAGTCCTTTATCGAATTGGATTATTTTAGAAAATCAGTATTTAGACCAGGGCATCTTATATCCTCCACAGAACGATCTAACTTTGCCTATCCCTTTTTATTAAGTTAATATAGAATAGGCAGCAGAGGATTGGAGAGAAACTAATTCCGGCTCTCTGACCTTTCCGATGACTTTGGACTTTAGCTTCGCCCCGTTCAATACTACTACTAATCATTTCCCCATTACTATACCCACATCTGACCTCCCGCTTGGCTCACCCACTGGCCACCAATAATAACTATCCTCTGACTCCGCTAAACCACCGAAGCCTTCTCCGCTATTATTCATAGAAGTTGACTCTATGAGAAGGCAGGCAGAACTATACCGCCTTGCCACTGCCTAGTTTCCTATTAACCTCCTTACCTCTTCGTGGTCTCGCGGTAATAATAGACCCCTCGACCGCAATTATATCGCCCACCTTTGTCGGTCCTTTCGCCAAGGCAATCTCGCCCATCGAGCTAAGGAGAACTATATCTAGGTCACCTACAGTGCCGCCGCCGTCGACAGTATTATTAGTACCATTGCCGGAATAGATCGTTACCCCTATTATCATTATGATCTAACCAAACATCCCGTACTATTATTCAAGCACTGGGCCGATATTAACGACGAGAAGCCCGAACTTATGGCCGGCTAACATCGCATTAAAGCATTACGGGACTATGCAAAGCAAACTAGTTTAGGTTTAGACGATCTATAGTAGATCTACGAGTTTTATAATAAGGGTGCGTCTTTACTATTGCTATTATCATTAGACGCTAACTAGCCTAACCCTAGACACTCTCCCCGTCAAGTTGGATATTAAGCTCCGCGTTAACCGTCGCGACCTTACCTTGCCCGATAGTCATAGCCAGATCTAGTTATAGCTCGCCTCTGCCTCCGACCGAGATCTCACCCTTTTCTCCCCTCAGAAAAATAAGAACAAATAAGTTCTTAAGAAAAGAATACTAGATATTCTCTATCTACGCAGTAAAACCCGCTTTCCTATTAGCCGACTTATCACTCTGTGGAGGAATGAGCGATAGAGGCCCATGATCACCCGCTGGTATAGAACTCAGATAGGGAGGGCAACCTTTAATATCTCCATATAGGATCGTATGGCCAGTTATAGAATCGATGATATGAGTGACTCTTTACACTTATGGAGGTGCAATTAATTCATCATTATTATCATAGTGGACCTTATTAGGTCGAGCTTTATGAGGCTAACGCGAGCGACCCTGTCGTTCTATACGAGCAGTATTAGTTCGATATATTCTATTAGGTGCTCGAAACCCTTAAGACCTTGCTAACCCTAGCCGCCGAATCCATTCAAGTCTCAGACTAGGCTAAGTTAGTCACCGGTCTCGGAAACAACATATATACCGCTATAGACGTTCGCCGGCTCTTCTACCCGAGAGATAGTAGCGACAGCGATAATTTAGCTACCCCGACCTCTCGCTAGGCCGGCTTCTTTAGCTCGCTTAACAAGAAAAGCTATTATGACCTTTTCCGCTATATCCTTCAACATTATCCTGCCCTTCCCTTTCCCGATATATAGTCGCTCTTAGGGATAAAGAAGGACGAAGGCAAGATTATAATATAGGTCATAGACTATATCGTGCGCTAGGTCAATGCCTAACCCACCGATATCGTGAATCATTATAATAATAATAAGCCGCTAAGGCGATAAGATCTAATGCCTGCTATTGAAAGGCTGATAGCGACCGTATGCGGGGCCGATTAGTAGGCTTAGCTACGAGAGGAGGGCGACGACGTCGTAGCTTAGTTGGAATTGCGCTCCCGATCTCTAGAAAAGCAGGTCTTAGACTACGTTCGGCGCCATATAGCCAGGTTTAAGGATCCTTCGACGAAACACTATCTTACCCTAATGCCAGAAGAATACGATGATAGCTACGTAGAATGCTTCGCCGCTAACGATCTATAGGTGGGCCTTTTCCGGGTTGTTCGGGATACTATTAGATCGGCATTCTGCCTAATATGGCAGGATTCAGTATTAAATCGCGTCGGCGAGCTTCGCGGCAGAGATAAGGCTCACTACCCTAACGGCGAGACGCGTCGTAGACTAGCATTAGCCATTACGCGCGCTATCTACAGTTAGCTTATAAATATACCCGAGGTAGAGGAGAACCTGGCACTCCGTGGTATATATGCCTCTACGGAACTTAGTATATATATCGATTAAGCCGTTCTTGCGTGGGCTACGGACCGGTATCGCAAAGCAGTAGAAAATAATAAGTCTAATAATAGAGTCCCTTAGTCGGGCGAAGAGTTGCGATTGATTCATATGGCGCACCAAGAGTATAAGAGGCTCTTGTCGGGAATGATAACCATAGTCTTCTCCGATAATTAGTAGTAGCAGCCGTCGCAAAGGTTTATCCCAATAAATAAGACAAGCGGGTCTCAGGGGCGCAATTATCAAACCGGGGAGGCAGCCAGGCTGGCAGACTTATCATTAATGCGGCAGTCAAGCTATACGGCCATATTACCTTCTCTAGGGTCCTTGCAATCATCGAGGAATTATTATAAAAGAGGCACATAGGGGCAAGGAGCTATGGGCTATCCACTACCATAACAGCCGCGTCCCATGGCAGAGATTAGCCGTTCTCTGCGACTGCCGGGAAGGCTAATAGGGGGAACCAAGGTTATTTAGTCGCGGGAGGGCAAGAAAAGCCTCTTAACCGGCCAGCGCAGCCCCGGTCGATCTAACCTGGCTAAGAGAAACGCGCTAGCGTCATCGCAGACAGCAGAGTGGATAGATGGACCGGTGGCCACATTAGGAAGCCAGCGATAGAAATAGATATGCTAGAGCTACCCTAATTTCGAGCGGACACGCTATGGAGAATAAGCGGCTAGGAGATATATAAGCCTCTCTACTTAGAACATCTTATATATAATACTATAATACTATATATCTTAAATTAAATCGACCAAAGTCGATAGAAAAAAAAAACATACTAATAATAATAATTATATCGACTCCTAAGTGCATATAGGAGACCGCGTAAAATATATCTCGGTCGGTTTCGTAGATTATAAGAAAGTATTAACGAAATTTGCCTACTAAGTAGTGAGTATACTTATTAAGTAACTCTGAAACGCAATAGCTACGCCGGAAGGACCGGATACGCCAGGAGGATCCGAAAGCGACTAAGGACGTAATAAAGAATATCAGAGCCCCGTAGCGCCTATAATAAGTAAGCCACTATTAAGGTGCGATAGCAGGTCCGACGTTATATAATATATAATAAGATGTGATTAATAGTAATCCTCTCGTATTTATAAGTTAACTATAGCTATACGCGCGTCTGACCCTATTGGCGTATCTGGCGGCCGGTTAATTTAGCCCGAAGGGCGTTTTACTCAGTCAGAAAAAAAGAGCATAAAACTTTTTCTGATTGGCTAATTGGCATGGTCTATGCTCAACTCGTGCTTGAATTGGTCAGTTGTCAACGCTAACGACGCCACTACATGGGAAAGCCCGCGATCGTTGACTAGGTAACGCTTTTGGCAAGCTCTCTAGGAGCTTTAAGGTTGTCCTTCAATCAACTCCGGCCTCTAAGCGCGATTCTGGCCGGAGCACCGACATGGCGTCTGCTTTCCCTTTGCCGTCAAAACTATTATCCACCAAACCTTACGAGGTTGCTAACGACGTCTCGGCTCACGTATCACCTGCCTCCGGTCGAGCGGTGAAGTGTCCCCTCCTTCCCTGATCGTTCGAACCTAATCAAAACACCCTACAGATAACCTCCCATATCGAGATCTGTCACGCTACGGTACATCTAAGCAAACCCTCGCTGCCCAAGCGGTACCTACCCGGTCGTCTGCATAGGTAAGAGGCGGATAATAATATATGCAGCCGGATGGAGAATGATATACCCCAGGCAGTTCGGAACTGCCATACTTGCAAGCAAGACCTGCCCGAGGTCGAGTTTCGAAGCGTCAAGGACCCTGCGAGGCTTACGAGACAGTGTAGTAGCTGTAGGGCACGCCAAAAGGAGCGAGTGGCCGAATCCCGAGCCGCCGTTGCCGCCATGCGGAATATCGCCTCGAGGCTATCGCCGCGCAGAACGACGAAGAGGACCGATTCTCAGGCTCAATTGACGCCTCCACGGCGAAACGCGCAAGCGCTCGTGTCCATCAATAGCTCACAACCCCCTGCAACGCCTGCTGTATTCCGTGGTCTGGCGCCCGTCCTCCAGGGACTGCCTAGACCTCTGCTGGGCCCATCTACCTCAAGCGCAGCGGAAGGAGCCCTCCCTATCCCTCCCACCTTAAGCCCGCCAAGAGTAGTTCTGGGCACGCCGATTCCTAGTGACACGACCACAACGGCTCCTATTGTGCTAGGCACGCCTGTGCCACAGGAATCGTTCCCTACCACTGCTTCATTACTGCCACAGGGTCATCGCCGCGGCCGCTATACACGTCAAGGCATCGTGAACCGACGGCCACGGCCACAGCTTCAAGAACGACAGTTTGATCAGATAGTTGATCCACCTTTTACAGGGGACCTTGATTTGCCTGCCCTTAGTGAGGAGGATCGGGCGCTTGTGCGGGAGTTCTATACTGCCCTGAATGACGACAAGATGCATAGTTGCATTCGCTGCCGGGAGCATTGGTTCGATATGAAGAAAAACAGCTTAGGAGTCTACAGCCGCTGCATTAGTCGAGATAGGGAGAGAACCGCTAACGAGCCCTACTTCTTTAGCGCTGCGAATAGCCTTAACTTCGGGGAAGTCCCCGGTAATCTACCTAGCCTAACGATGGTTGAGGAGATGCTGATTGCTAGGGTTCACGTACACGTGAAGGTCCTACAGGTACGTGGCTCTCAGTATAAATACCGCGGCCATGTTATCCACTTCCTTCGCAATGTTAGTAGGCTATTTGAAGAGCTCCCGGTCCTACCTGAAGAGCTAGATATCGTGCTCCTGCGGCCTCCTAATATGGAGGGCGACCCTCACTTCCAGCAGCAGTTTGCTCGCGATTTCCGGGTACGCCGCTCATGCCTATTGACCTAGCTGCATTACCTACAGCGCCACCACCCGGGCTATCGCGATATCGTTATGAGGCAGGATCGCTTGCAACGGCTTCCTCTTAACGGCAGCATAGTTGCTTCCATTGCTAGCCAAGTGGCTGACATACCTAACGGCGAGGCCCCCCAAGGTCCCATTGAGGAGGATATAGAAGAGGATCCAGCAGATGCAGATGCATCGGCGATCCCCGATTTGCAAGTTACAGACACCGAATTAAACGCCCTGCAGTCCCGATTGCTTCATGGTACCCCTGACCCTGAGCGTATGGCCGATCTTAAGCATATACCGCCTAACGCGCAGGCTCAACACCAGATGCCACTACCTTCCATTCGCAGGACTCCTATCAACGAATTCAACCGTTCCCAGCCGCTATTGACGCTCGCGTTCCCCACCCTCTACCCCAACGGCAAGGCCGACTTCGTGGAGCCTCGCCTACGGAGCGTCACGTACCAGGACTACCTTGCCCATGCGATGAGATGGCAAGACGGACGTTTTGCCCGGCATAAGACGTGGCCTTTTGTCGCCCTCAACACGCTATTACGTGCGCAGGTCAGAAAGCGGAGCAACTACTCGGTCAAGCAACACGAAGGCCGCCGCCGTCAACCCCTTACGCGCGCTGACATAGAGGAAGCGATGGCTAAGCCTGACGAGCCAGAGGCTCAGGCCCTGATCCAGTCGATCACGCGCCAAGCCGCCGTAATCAGGGGTACCCGTCCATATTGGTATAAGCAAAGGAAGGAATTAGAGGCATATGCCTATAATCTAGGCAGGCCTGGCCTTTTCGTTACAGTAAGTGCGGCTGATTACCACTAGGAGTCCCTATATCGTCATATGCCTCGATTCCAGGAGTGGAAAGCAGCTCCTAAGGCGGCGCGAATGGCTCTATCCCGGCAACTACTGCGAGACAACGCCCACATTGCCGCTTATCACTTCCATAAGCGATATACGCTCTTTAGGACTATTATCCTAAGGCAGAAGTTCAACCTAACGGACTTTTGGGGTCGCTACGAGTGGCAGGGCAGGGGTTCTAGTCACCACCACGGCCTATATTGGCTAAGTGGCCACCCGGACTTGGATCCCAATGACAGCCAGTCCCGGGAGCGATTTGCCCGAATCTGGGGATATCACGTATCCGCTATCAACCCAGAGCCTCAGAGGGTACAGGCACCTGGGGAAGGGAATCCCTTGATTAGTAATCTATTGGAACATCCCCTTACCGTCTAGTTCCTATCGATAGTAGTAAACCGCGTGCAGCGCCATCGCTGCAACAACTACTATATGCAGCTCAGCAAGCATACTAAGCAGGTGGAGTGCCGCTTTGGATTTCCTCACGGGCAGCGCCTACTAGCCTCCCTTGAAAAGGTTCCTCATTCTAAGCACTAGAGCTTTAGGGGCGAGCGGAACGATAGCCAGATGAACCACTACAACCGCTTACTTGCCGTTGCGTGGCTAGCCAATACAGATGTCTCACCCTGCACGAGCCTGCAGCAGGTGATCGATTACGCAGCTAAATACTGCTCCAAGTCGGAGAAGAAAAGTAAGTCTTTTGCCCAGATTAGGAAGGCCCTAATGCCCCGGGTCAAGGACCACAACCCGCTGATTTCCTTCACGTCAAAGCTCCTAAATCAGCTAGTTGCTGAGCGAGACTACTCGAAGCAGGAGGTTAGCCACTTGCTCCTCGGTCTGCCGTTACAAGAGGGCTCACAAACCTGCTTACACATTGATTGCCGTAATCCTGACATGCATTCCCGCTCTTTACGGATTGACGCCGATGAGGTTAACGAGGCCCCCAACGTCTACGAAAAGTACTATCAACGCCCCGAATCCCTAGAGGACCTAACCTATGTTTCCTTTCTCAAATACTGGAATTTCCACTCTAGGGACCCTTCCAAGTAGAAGCAATAGCAGCCAGCCAACGTCAACGGCAGGCCGCGTGTATTAGTCTACTTTCCTCGCTATCAGGCTGATCCAGAAGGCCAACAGTGGCCAGAGTACTGCCGCGTAAAGCTAGCATTGAACCACCCACATCGTCGGCATGATGAGCTCCTCATATTTAACGGCCATCGTTTTAATTCTCACGCTCAGGCCTTCTCCTATTGTTGGCAGCACCACAGTCATGGTGATGACCATTACGGCCGGCCAAAAGAGGTTCGATTACAACCTCAAGAGGATCAGTACGAGGCTCTGCCAGTAGAGGAGGAATTTGATGACGAAGACTGGATCCGTCTCGCCGCCCTTTTACCTAACAACCCCCTTACCCAGGAAGGTCTTGACCTACTTGGCCGCCGCGATATCAATGTCAATTACGACTAGACACGGCATGTGGGCACTTATTCAGAGTTTCGAGACAGCTACTAGAAAGACCTCATCGCTAGCAACCCTATAGCCAACGATGTGGAGGTCCTTGGCCCTCACTAGCGTGATCAGCTCAACCCGCAACAGCGGTTAGTATACGATACCTTCATGGGTCACTTCCAGGCGCAAAATCCTACTCAAATCCTTCTCCACGTTAACGGCGGCGGTGGCACGGGCAAGTCCTTCCTTATCAAGGTGCTTTCCTCCCACCTTCAGGCGGCTGCCCTGCCGAATCCTAGCCCTATTTGCCGCGTAGCGCCAACAGGCGTTGCGAGTAACCAGATACAGGGCAGCACCATACATTCACTGCTCCGTCTCCCAGTAGGCGGTGCCTTTACCGAACTTCGCCCAGCTGACGCTGCTGCCCTTCAGTCCCGCCTACGGCACGTCAGGTACCTCGTTATCGATGAAAAGAGCATGCTAGGACTTGAGCAGCTCGGGCGAATTGATTCTCGCCTGCGACAGGCCTTTCCACAGCGTAGCCTCGAGTTCTTTGGTGGTGTGAGCGTCTTGCTTGTGGGCGATTTCTTCCAGCTACCACCCGTCCGACAAAAGCCGCTGTATTCAACCGCCAGCACTGGCCTGTCTTCGTTGGAAAAGAGAGGACAGGTAGCCTACCGGTTGTTTGACCGCACCGTCTTCCTGACCACGGTACAGCGCCAGACTGGTGATGATCAGGCCCGGTTCCGTCAGGCATTGCAAGAACTGCGTGAAGTCAAGTTATCTATACCCTCCTGGAACCTCCTCAGCAGTCGAGTGCAGGCCAAGCTAACGCAGAGCGAGGTTGACAGATTCAAGGCCGCTATGCGGGTATATTCCACAAAGGCCCGGGTCAACGAATACAATTACGAGCATATAGTGCACCTCAACGCCCCGGCAATACAGGTGGAGGCAAAGAACCTAGGCAAAGGCGCGGGGCAGGCGCCAAGCGACCATGCTGGCAATCTATCCAACAAGTTTGCTGTTGCTAGAGGTGCCAGGGTAATGCTCACAACTAATTTGTGGCAACCAGCTGGCCTGGTTAATGGCGCCCAGGGTACGATATATGATGTCGCTTGGAATGAAGGCGCCAACCCGTGGCAAGATCCCCCGGACGTTATCATGGTGGACTTCGATAACTACGACGGACCGCCGTATCTGACAACTGACGAGGGCAGGAAAATCGTACCCATCCTTCCCGTCACGCGTGATTTCCTAGTGGGCAACGAGACCTGCTCTCGCACCCAGTTTCCCCTGATCGTGGCATTTACTATCACTATTCACAAATGCCAGAGCCTAACGAAGGATCAGATAGTTACTGACCTCGCTACACGCGACTTCCAGGCCGGTATCAGTTATGTTGCAGTGTCACGAGTTACCTCGTTGCAAGGCCTACTCCTCGAGGCGCCTTTCGACCATCAGAACCTCTATAACCACACGCCCACGGAAGGTTTATACGCCTGCGTTTCCTACGTACTGCGATTATGGCTAACTACAACGTAGGGATAAAGATGCGCCTTGCTGACCAACGACGCCGTCAGGCTCAGCAGCTGATTGATCCGCCATATCCACCACGGTACATTGACTAAACGACGTTTTCCTATAAGCTACAGGGAAGGGGGAACTCGATATACAGTATATAGTTGATTGGGCCTGGAAGGAAGTGGTAGAGGGACCCCTATATCTATCAGTCAACTCCCTTACTACAGGTTTGAAGTGGTTCTGATAGCTGGTTATCGCCACAGTCGAAAGGGGGCCTCCCAGAAGAGTTTAATAGCAGGTAGACGGTATTTACCCTTCGGGCTGAATATTCAGCCGTTAAGCCCCTTGCCTTGGCAACTTAACGGGTGTTCGAAGTATTTTATCTATAAATCGGGTTACTAAGACTTTCCAAAAGATATAATATTAATCTATCTAATACTAGGAGGAGATTATTAGCCCTTAGTCCTAGTACTCGATTCGATTTACTAATTTTTCTATTATATTATGTCACTATTATCATCATCAAATCCCCATTAAATCCCCATCAAGCAAATACTGCCTTAAGGACCCTATAAGCCTTACCGGTAATTCCTAGATATATGGTGCGTATGGCAGCGCCCCTTAGCAGGGAGCATATAGATGCAATAACGCATTCATTTATTTATTTATTTATCGTATTCATCTCTTTCTGCTTCACGTACATAAGGGTCGGGGGCCAACTAATAATTAATATTAGCTTTTAGTTTAAGTGCCCTTTAACGTACATGATAAGCGAGTGTTACAAACAAGCGAGTGTTACAAAAATCCCTCAACCTACAACACGTCCGCTTCGTGGATTGATTCTTAACCACCCAATATGCCTGAGTTTAATAATGAAGCTAATATCATCCTCGCCCTTCGCGCCATTCAAAATGACCGAAAATTATCTCTCCGACGCGCCGCAAAGATCTATAAAGTTGATCCTATGAGATTATGGCGTCGCCACAAGGGCATACAGTCTCGACATGATACTACCCCCAAATCACGGAAACTATCTGATCTAGAGGAACAGACCATAGTTCAGTTCATTCTTGACTTGGATTCGCGAGGATTTCCCCCGCGACTGCGCGGTGTGGAAGAAATGGCCAACCGACTGCTCGCCGACCGGAACGCATCACCCGTCGGCAAGCGCTGGGCTTCCAACTTCGTCAAGCGACACGATGAGCTCAAGACGCGTTTCTTTCGTAGATACGACTACCAGAGGGCCAAATGCGAAGATCCAGCTGCGATTCGAAAATGGTTCAAGCTCGTGGAGAACACAATCGCCAAATACGGTATCGACCTGGCTGATATCTACAACTTTGACGAGGTTGGCTTTATGATGGGCGTTATTGCAAGCGGAATAGTCGTCACAGGCTCCGAAAGACGTGAAAAGCCGAAATCAGTACAGCCTGGAAACCGGGAATGGATTACCGTCATCCAGGCGATCAATGCGGAAGGCCGAGCGATCCCGCCGTTCATCATTGGTACGGGCCAATATCACCTCGCCAACTGGTACCGGGATAGCAACCTTCCGGATGACTGGGTTATTGCAACATCTCCCAATGGCTGGACCGATAATGAGCTGGGTCTTGAATGGCTGAAGCACTTTGACCGGTGTACAAAGACGCGATCGGTCGGTCGTTATCGTCTTCTGATCCTCGATGGCCACGAAAGTCACCATTCTCTCGAGTTTGAGAAATATTGCCAGGCGAACAAGATTGTTACACTCTGTATGCCGCCTCATTCGTCTCACCTGCTTCAGCCCCTTGATGTCGGGTACTTTAGCCTACTCAAGAAGGCATATGGTCGAGAAATCGAGCATCTGATCCGATGCTCGATAACCCACGTTTCCAAGACCGAGTTCTTTGCCGCCTTTTACGCCGCATTCCAGGCCACTATGACGGAGAAAGCCATCAAGGCGGCTTTTAGAGGGGCCAGACTTGTTCCACTTGACGCGGAAAGCGTGATTTCGAAGCTTGATGTGCAGCTACGGACCCCGACGCCGGTTGAGGAGGAGGCCGGCCCCCCTACCACATAGGTTTCAAAGACGCCAAAGACGGTCCTTGAGGCCGAATCTCAGTCTGAATACCTCGATAGACGAATCAGAAGGCATAAAAGTAGCTCTCCAGAGTCGATCCTAGGAGCTCTCAAGTCACTTGCTAAGGGAACAAAGGCAATGATGCATGAGAATGCCTTATTGAGGGCAGAGAACCGCGACCTTCGACAGGCAAATGACCTGCTAAGTCGACGCCGGAGGGCAAAAAGGACCCGATTACAGAAAGGAGGAGTGATGATAGTAGGAGAAGCAAGGGGAGCAATTGATCAGATTAGTGTAGATGGGCGGGTAGAGGGCGAATCGTCGAGAAGTGGTGGTCAAGGAGGGTCAGCGAGGCCGAGGGAAAGGCGCTGTGGAGGATGCGGAAAGACGGGACATAATGCAAGAACATGTCAAATAGTTGTAGCGATATCTGAAGAAGAGTATAGCGATTAGTTTTGGTTGGTTAGACGATTTGTTGTGTTTTTACGGCTATTCCTATCTTAAAGGTTGGGATTTTTGTAACACTCGCTTGTTTGTAACACTCGCTTATCATGTACGTTAGGTAATAACCTTAGCTAATAAGTTCATTGCCGAGACGAACGACGAGGCTTTCGATAGGGCGCATGCTCTTAACCTCCTATAACGCCGAGTTATTATCGACTACGGGAGTAAGAAGATAGGATCGAGGCCGGCGAGCAAAGAAGATAAATACTACCCCGTCTTTTAACTCGACTTTGTTAGTATCGTCGGCCGGCCACATCGACCAATCTGCCGGTCCAGTCATTTCTTCGATAATATCACCATCTCCCTCCAGCATTGGAACGCGCTATATAGTGCGAAGTATGTGCAAGGGATTCATTTTGACCTAAGCGGCCGTACCTTTCGCATCGCCACCGGTGCCACCCGAGAGGCTTAGTTCATCGTCATACACCCGATCCAGAGGGCTTCTTCCAGAAATAATAACCCTTATCATCGACGGCATAATACGGCATATACGAGGACTACCCTCATGCACGGTCGTGCCCTATTGCTTGCATCCTATATCAAAGACATCTTTCTCCGTGGGGAGCTCCTTGGCAAAGGGGTCGAGCCGAGATGGGCCCTCGGAGGGGCAGAGGCTCAGATAATCGCATTCGACAAATAGGTCACATTTCAGACTCGTTTCATAGAAGGCTAGGAGGAATTCATCGAGGGCCTTTCCGTCCGCGGCGGTAATACTTTCTGGCTCGATCACCAACCCGCTTTCCACGCGTATGACTATGGGGCAAACATCAAGATTGAGATCAATGAGGAGATAGCAAATCTCGAGCAGGTAACTATCATCATCAGACCAACGCATATCCACGGCGAGATAGACGACGACGACGACGACGATAATAATAACGGTTAGGAGAGACTACGACAAGGACAGGAGCAACAGGGTGAGGAAGAGGAGGAGGATAGTAATGATGATCAGTATCCTCACCCTGACGCCAAGGAGGACAGCCTCTTCCTACCGGTAGAGGCTCATAGTACTACTTCCCTATCGCCACTATCTCATTCTTTCCGCCCCGATCACCGTGAGATAATAGGTCGTCGACGATTAGAAGATAAGGTCGGTCATAGCGAGGAGCACGATCTGCCTACTACCGCCGGTGCTAGGCGTATTATTATAACTACGTCGGCCCCGCTTAGTAGCGGCCATTCCCATCGCCTCGAGGATAAAGAAGAGGGAGGGAGCGGGGAGGTATTGGGTGATAATAAGCAGGAGGAGAGATTCATCAGGTGGATAAATGAGTCTAAAGGCGCCGTCATAACCCATTCGACAGGCGTCGCAAAGGCACAGCAACAACAGCAAGGAGAGGAAGAGGACGGGTTGACCCATCAACATCGTTCTAATAGTGATAAAGAGGACGAAGAGGAAGACCATCGGGGGGCCCCATCATCATCATCAGGTGGACAGGGAGAACACGACGCTTTATACAGCGATGGCTTGAGGCGGCTTCGCGAGGCCCTCGAGGCAAAGTATAACCTCGACAACATCAGTCATATCTCCTATGCTCTAGCTATTAATATCCACTGCACCGCGGCAAGCACGCATCCAGGTGGAGGAAGAGGTCCTACAGTGTGCCTGCTTGCTAATCGTAACCGGGTAGCTAGTGAGTTCTACGGAAGCAAATATACCTTCTACCCTCTTAGATTCCACCCTACGTACGGGAATTTCACCTCGGATCGCCCGCCCGCCTTCTTAGACAGCGATCTATTCACTATCATGAAGGAGAATATAAGTCACTAGAACCAAGGTGCCGATATGCTTTCCTTCGGGTTCTTCCAGGGATACTCCAACCTAAAGCGGTCGATCCATCACCGGCCCGACGACCTACTAGCGAGCCACGGTCTCGCGACGGCGGCACTCACCATTCCCTCGACCGAAGCTCAACATACAGCTCGTCTCAGAGATAAACAGCAGCGCTTACTAGCTCAGGTGCGAGGACAGCTTACACCCGAAAACCCTAGTGCCTCGACGCCTTTCGCTCGGGAACGGCAGAGAGTCGAGGCGGCCCTGCAGGCCAACGAGTTTGCCTTCCGGTTCGAGCAGGTAATTTCCATCGATGCTCCACGGCTCGTACGCCAGCGCCAGAACTTTAACACCGTACTGCAGCCCATCTTCCAGCTCATGCGGCTCTTCCTTAAGGAGAAGCAGCTCTACGCCGGTATCCTACGACGCTTTCCCCCAGAGATCTTTCCAGGTATACTAGTGGCCTTTACTAAAGTCCTGGAAGCGGCCATAGTAGAGATAGATCGCCGTTTCCGCGAGGGAGGATCGAAAGGGTTGGGCATAGCCCTCTCCGAGGGCATCGCTGCCCTCGATCGACTGGGCAACTTTTGCTTCACCGGCGATCAAAGAGTGCTACCCACCAAAGTCATAAGGCTCCTTAGGACGATAGATAGCCTAAAGACGTATGGATGGCCATTCCTGTCTCCGCGGATGCTGGACATCCGGGAGGGACGGGGGCTTGTCAACCTAGTAGGGTGGCCGCAGCTGAACAACAGACGGCCGGTGTTGATGCATGTTGCCTCGCTTGAGTACCACTACGATCGCTCTATAGCTGCCAACCGACACAGCCAACTATGGTTTGCCGAGCTGGGGGGCCGATCGATAGATGGGATAGATAGAATGACGACGTTCCTCCACGAGGTATTCCGAGACTTGTGGGTACCGGAGATAGTCGCCTTTATCTGCCGACAAGTTCGCCGTGGTCTTAATCGTAGCCTTCGCGGTGGCGGCGGTGGGCTGCGCAACGACGACGACATAAACAACAATAGTGCTCAGGCGATGGTGGCCTTGGGAGCGTAGGAGGAGCGGGAAACCCCATTTAACTTATCGTATGTATCTTACCTTTCTCACCCCATAATATCACCCTATTATTATTATTATTATTTCTCCTTCCCCGGGCCTTTCTACCTCACTTTCCTTCCGATAATTAAGTGAGAGAGCTATGCTAACTATACGTTTTTTCCGATTATAGGAGCTTTAAGAAACTCTCGGTTAAGGTTCTAAAATTCGATAATCGCTCGATTAACGATTCGAAGATGGTTTTGAAAACTCGATGAGACTTTGCCGAGGAGATATATGCAGCATTAATAGAAGGCGGTAAGAAAGGTCGCCCGGGAATCGAATCCATCGCACCGACTCATTCCACCTAGCCCTCCATCCTCCGGGCTGCCATCGAACACACCAGGGGCGGCTTTACAACAAGGGCGCAGTGGGTCTCAGGCATCGCAGCTGCCATGGTGTCTACGAAGATTGAATAGGTGCCTGGCTCTCATCGTCGAAGGTTAACACATCAGCAGGTAATACAGCTCGTCGGGGCGGCAACGTCAGCGACTGTGCTCGCAGCTCGGCCGAATAGTCTTAAGCAGCGAGCATTGGAGGCAGAGGCTCGCATGGCGGCCAGGCTAGTCGATGGCAAGCAAGCGAGAATACAGCCGCGGATCGACCTTGGCTATAAGATCCCATTCAAATAGATACCCGATATCGTAAATAAGGGCTTCAACGAGCTACGACAGATATTCGCCAAAGGAGATCAGCATATACTATCTCACTACTGCGTGGCATACTATTATCTAACAGACTACCTCGAGGATCCATTATGCGATCTCATACTCATTCTAACCTTAACCATTACGGCATTAAGTGCGACTCTAGAGGTTTAGCCCAACACAAAGGTCTTTAGCGCCACGACCAAGCGAAGAGACCCGGCCCTGCTAGCAGCAAATATGGTAACGAGAATGCTCTGGTTCCTGCGGCTAGAAGCATTCCCGTGGGAGAAAGATAATAGGCAAGTATTGCGAGTCTCTGAGATAACGAAGAAGATCGGTAAGCTATCTATCCATTTCCTCCCTAGGTCCTATCTCTAAAGATCTTGCCTATACGACACGGTCTGCCATAGCCTACATACGGAAGCTAATCGTCATCATGTTGAACTACAGAACACAAGGGAGTTAACAATTGACTTCTTCGAGAATTAGGTTGGATCCAGGTTAAAGGCAGTCGAGATAGCCCGCGGAATTATGAATCGCGCCTCGCGCCGCAAGATGAGCTCTATAAGCTTCGCGACGACTTGATATTTCTTATAAAGGAGCCGAGAAACTTTATCGGGTACGTATTTAAAAGTAATAAGTAGGAATAGGTAGATAGGTGCTCGAGTATTATTCGAGATAGTAATTAAACTAATAACTAAACAAAACTTATTAATTAATTGATTACCTATGAACTATGCGTGATATTTTATAGATTAAGCCGGTCAACTCATTAGGCCGCATAAGTAGGCGTATAGCATACTCTAATTAAGACCTAGGACGAATTTATGGGTTATAATAAGTAATATCATAAGTAAAACTGAGCTGTAGTAAGCTTAATGAACTATTCTCTTCGCCTTAGGGAAGGATATTTCATCCAGGCTCGCTTTTTCTATATTCTCTGCTCTATAGTCAAACACACAATCTAGGTTCTTAATTATTATAACTTTGATTTTTTCTTTTTTTTTTTCTCTTTCTTTTTTCTTTCTTCATACAATAAGAATTTCGGATAGCTATTCAAATCATAGCTAGTAGTCAAGGAGATTTTAAGGGAATAAGAAGCAGGGCTTTTATATAAGTCCGGCAAAGATATATATAACGGCTAGTATGATCAAGAATATACCAAGTCGGAGCATTAATCTAAGCTAGCATAATAACCTCCAAACCCCCAGACTCAACAATCACCCATACAACTTGTCCGTAATATTCACGATGACGGTGCCAGAGCCAGGGTCGTTCATATACGCTCCTACCTCTGGATCATTGAGAGGGCTCATATCTGGGCTGCATACCCAAATGACTGGACGTCCGAAAGGTATGGTTATGCTGCTTCCATCTTATTCCTCAACGAAAAGCTGCATTTGACAGCCAGCCAGATGCCGCTTACATAACAGATTTTATAAGCTGACGTTCTTCAGCACGACGTGAGTAATGCCGGGCCTCCGCACCTCATCCACATCCCAACGATCTACCATAAAAGCCGGGCGGCCAAAGGTCAGAGCTAACGTAGTCTTCCCGCATCCGGGAGGTCTAATAAGGACGAGCGAGGAGGGCCGACCCTCACCCGTACCGTTGATGAATAGCAAGGCCTCCGCAAGCCAGTCCTGTATTCTAAGGGGCAGGTGCCAAGGGCGAAGCTCAAAGGCCGGCACATGCGGCAGAGCAGGCGGCGGTTCCTTGCTTTTTAAGAATGCCTCACACTTGCCAGACATGCCTGGGAAGTGTCCTTTAAGAATAATCCGTGCTTCATCGCGAGAAGATTTCTCGTCAATAACCCTCCGGAAGAGCGCTTCCTAGTACGGGCTAAAGCGCTCCTCGCTCTCACACGGGTCAGGGTCGGAAAGAAATGCAAGTTCATCTATTATTGAAATTCTTAAAGGAGGGATGTTACCGTACTTTGCAGTAGACTTGAGGGTATAAGGGTAAGGACAGAAGGCACGGTGAAGTTAGACTAGCTTTATATATGGGGTTTGGCCTTATTATAAGGTGAGAGTCGCAAATTGCCACGCAACGCGAGGAGGGGCAACATATAAACGCGTAATCACGTGCCCTACCTACTAAAAGATAGTAAGTGATGAGCATATATGAGGTAATATAATTAGTTGGTTAGAAGTCCCGGAGTTACAGTATAACAATATTCCTACTGCTAATAGCTTCAATATAAAAAGCTGATAGATAAATCGGCTATTACAGATCCTGGGTGGGGTTTAAAAGCGGCGGTGCGCTAAGCCCTGAACAGAAAACCGCGACACTAAGATAATACAATAAGACTAAGTATCGCGGTTTTTAGCTACTAAATTCGGTAAAGAAACATCGCCGCCTTAAACAACTTCTATACAACCAACACAGCATCTAGCGCGACTCGAGAGACCTTGCACCCTGCCGGTCTTGGAATCACTTTAAACCTAGGGGAAGGAATAACTATAAGATAATATCATGCAGGCCACCTGCTAATGCCGAACCCCAGTGACGGCGGGGGGCTTATTCATATATATCATTATATCCAGGGTTAGGTAAGGCATTTCTAGCAGAAACTCCTTAACAAAATCCTCGTCTAATAACTCCCGATGCTCATAGAACGTCTTCACGATAGCCTCCCGCATCTTCGAGACCATAGATAGGGTAATAGTATATGCTTCCCATGCCGCATCTAATAGACACCTAGATCTCCACTAGGATCGAGCTACTACCTAGAACTTCTCCACCGATAGATCTCCGAGGCGAGATATATCATAGGTGTGCGCAAGTGTAAATACCTTAGAATAGAGAATTAGGTAGGAACCATCGGGGGTGACCATCTCTTCAGCAGGTGGGTCACTGGCATATAGGACGCCTATTTAGGCATTATCGCTAGATATAAGTGATGGAATATTGTAGTCCCATAGGTAAAAGAACTATACCACGCAATCAACGGCCTAAGGGTCTGCGTCCCCAAAGTTGAATAAAGCTTTGCTAGTATTATTACTGGATTCGGCTATCTTCGTCTCGGCCTGGCGAAGTCTGGCAGCATTATATTAGCAAGATCGGCGTATTATAGGAGACTAGGAGCACACCACGGTGCGGTATAATTCATATAGCTTATCAGTCGAGATAAGCTCAATATCGGAATAGATACCAGTATTAAGTAGCCTAATAGAGTATCAAAAGTAAGTTCTCATTAAGGGGCACTATCCGAGCTAACTTGCCTGCGTAGCCATATCTTTTGTTCTTCTATAATAAAATTGGTTCGATTAGGCGCAGAAGATTTAGTAACCCTCTCTACCCCTTCTTATACTATAGGTAGTGGGAAGAGCTCCGGGAAGGCGGACCGAGCTATGTGTTTTAATTTAAATATGCCCTCTTTGAGTAGGTGTTAGAGGATCTAAATGAGCTATTCTTTAGAGAAGACGGGAATAATTAGGCGGTATCGCTAAATGACTGCTTTGATCAATTTTTGTTTACGCAGGGCGGCGTTCTCGGGTTTATAGAATATCTATCTACATCGCAGAGAGGAGTAGATAATTATGCACTTGGCCCTGGAGTGCTACATATAGTGGAGCGCTAAGCGAGCGGAAAGATCAGCGCGTCATAGAATGCTCCGTCCGTCGGTTGACGAAGAAGCAAGTTGGCTCGATGAGACGATAACCGGGTTAGGGTTATGGTTGGGGTTAGTATTTACTATCTAAGCTAGTCTGCCCGGGAGGTTTCTTCTAGCTAAAGATATAGCTTATAAGGTAAAGAGAGGAGATTTCTCTAAGGAGTAAAAAGAAAAGAAAAAAGAGATATAGCTAAGAAAGAGATATAGCTAAGAAAGAGATATAGCTAAGAGAGAGATATAGCTAAGAAAGGGGTATAAGGAATAAGAGATAAGGGATAAGGGATAAGGGATAAAAGGTAAATAATAAGGGATAAAAGAGAGAAAAATAGCCTTAGGAAGCCCTAGAAGTATTCCAAATCGACCTAGCTAGGTTACTAGGGGTATCTCGGGCTATAGAAGCCGCCGAGGTCGCCCTAGTCCTCATAAGGGCAAGGCTTATAGAGGAATCTAGCTGATTAGCCGCAAAGGGGCCAATAAGGTCCTGGAGCTTCTAATAGGCCTTAGCGGTCTCTAGGTCCATAAGGCCACCTGCGGAGAAGATAAGAGGCTGGAAGAAGGCCCCGAGAGACCTATATTTCCTGCGTTTCTCTTCTGCGGCCTCTCTGAGGGTGCTATAAGGGTCTTCCTTAGCAGAATCCTTTGAAATAGCTACGATTTGAATATCATAGTAATAGCGGCTATTTCCTAGGGTAATTACGAAGTCGGCCCTTAGGCTGGTTTCTAGGTGGACTAAGGGCTCTTTCTCGACCTCTAGGGTAGGCTGGCTACTTAGGGCTCTCACAAAGGCCCTAGTTATAGCATCATGCCTTATAATCCACCTCCTATTAGCACCCTTGCAGGTATCCTGATGGCCTAGGGCGGCTATAGCTCCGCAAGAGCTATAGGGTAGGCTGATAGGCTTGATTGGGTAGAAAAGCCGGCTTCGGAGGGCTTCGGTGACCTCGGAGTCTGTGAAAGATAGGGTTTTTTGAGTAGGCAAGACTCCTAGCTACTTACGGCCGAGATAGCTAGTATTTTCTAGCCTAGCGTGCCTATAGCTAGCGGGGAGGTCCTCTAGGAAGCCTGCTAGCCTAGCCTTATTTGCATCTTTTAGCACCTGTTATGCTGTTTTTCCTAGCCTAGGCTGGCCTGGGTCTAGGGTAGGCTGTGGGGCTAGGGGCTTCCGGATGAGGTCTAGGGTAGGCTGCGAGGCCTCCCTAGCTGCTAGGAATAGCTCGTGGGCTAGGTCTTTGTGCAGAGGTATTCCTAGGCCTCCCTCCCTGACTGGAAGGGCTATAAGGCTCGGATTAGGCTCCTTAGGGCACTCACTAGGGCTTCTAGCCACTAGGGCTATAATGGCTTCCCTTATAAGGGTATTAGCTTCTTCCCAAAGGTCTTCTAGCCCAGTTAGGTCTAGCTGCCTCTGAAGGTGCCTTAGAAGAAGCTGAATACTGCCTCTAAGAAGAAGCAAAGAGTGCTGCTTAGGGAGGTCTTGCAGGGCCTCGAGGGCTTCCTGCAGGGTAGCGAGCTTGTCTTATAAGAAGGCCCTTCTAGGCCGGATGGGGCCTATATAGGTGCCTAAGGCTCTTAGGCCTTCTAGCTCAAGGTCTTCTATAGCCTTTTCCTTGCTTTTGGCTAGGTTAAGGCTAAAAGGAGAGCCTTTTAAAACCTCCTTAGCTGCCTCTAGGGTGCCTTGCGGAGCCTTGTTGAGAATATAGAGGTCATCTAGATAAGCTACTAAGGTTGCCCTAGGTAGCCTCCTAGCTAGGGCCTCTAGGGTAGGTCGAAAGGCAAGGGAAAAAAGAAGGGGTCCGAGAGGGTCACCTTGCCTTACGCCCTTGGCCGAGGCTATAGCTGACCCATCTTCCATAACCAAGATGGAGGGGTCATTATAGGCCCAAGCTGCTGCCTTGTAGAAGGTGGGGGCATATGTAGCTACCGAGGCAGCTATAGAAGCCCTATCTACTGAGTTGAAGGCATTAGCGAGGTCGATAGAGGCTAGCTGCTGGAAATTAGCCTCATTTGGGCCTATAATAGCCTCGTAGAGGAGGAAAATAGCGGGTTCAACCCCGCCTGGGCTATTCACGCCTAGCTGGAAGGGTAAAAGCATATTCGGCCGATAGGAGGTCATTAGGATCGCCTTCATAGCTACCCTATAGATAAGGTCTCCTATAGCTATAGGCCTAACCCCTCCATCGGGCTTTTCAAGCCCTATTAGGCGGCTAGCGCATAATAAGTGGGCTCCAGGGGCCGTGCCTTGGCGAATCATATCAGCTAGCAGCCTTAGGAAAGCTATCACGGGGGAATCTTTCCTAGTTACTAGGTCTAGAAGAGGCCTAGTCCAGCCACTAAGGCCCGGGGCCTTTTCCTTGCCTATAGAGGCTATAGCTGCTATAATAGTCTCTGATGTGATTGGTTGGCCGGCCCTTGGGCGGGTCTTGCCTTGGAAGGGGTCTTTTGATCCAATAGGGTGCTTTTCTAGCAGCCTAGCCCTATTTTCTACTGAATTAGGTGCTATAGGGGTCGGATCAATAAGAGCCCTAGCAGCCCGGCCTAGGTAGCCTCTCTCCAGTAGCTTAGCTGCCCTTTGGGCCGGGCTAGGAGCTATAGAGGGTCTAGCTGCCTTGGGGGGCTCAGGGGGCTGTTAGAGGGACTGTAGGCTCTCTAGGGTAGGTAGGTTAGAAGGGAAAGACCTAAGAAGGGTAGCTAGGCCTCCTTTTTGTAACCCTAACCCTAGTAGCCTAGGCAAGATAAGGAAATATAAGAGGGCCTTTTTAGTAGGCCTCTTTAGAAAGGCAGCTGCAGCTTTATGGGCTGTAGCTGTGAAAATAGCAGCCTGCCTTGCATGTAGCCTTTTTTCCGGTATAGGGATCCTTGCAAAAGCTAGTAGCTTCTGCATAGAAGCCTTGGCTAGGATTGGGGCTATAGCTTGGTTGTGTAGCTGCTCTAGGGTAGGTCCCTCTAGGGTAGGCTCCTCGGGCTCCATAGGCTCTTCGGGCTCCATAGGCTCTTCGGGCTCCATAGGCTCTTCGGGCTCTATAGGCTCTTCGGGCTCTATAGGCTCTTCGAGCTCTAGGGTAGGCTCCTCTGGGGGCTCTAGGGGCTCTAGGGTAGATTCTTCTAGAGGCTCTAGAGTGGGTCCCTGGCTAGAGGGCCTAGGGCTAGAAGGTGTAGGGCTCGAGGGTGCAGGGCTCGAGGACCTAGGGCTAGAGGGTCTTCCCCTTTCTTCATAGCTAGAAAAAGACCTATAGCTTTCCCTCGAGCTTGGTCGGTCTAGGGTAGGCTCCTCTAGGGTAGGCTCCTCTGAAGAAGGCCTCTCTAGGGTAGGGCTAGGCTGTAGCTGCCTTTGCCGCCTTGTAGGTCTTTGTAGCTGTGGAGAAGGGGTTCTTGCTGGTCTCTTTCTTCCTATAAGGCCTCTATAGCTGACTAAGCCCGGGCTAGCCTGATTAGGCCTAGTAGGGCTAATAGAAGAAGCTAAAGAGGCCCTAGAGGCACTAGTAGCCCTAGTAGCTATATAGGTCCTTGGCCTAGGTAAGGTAGAAATATGGGCTTTACCTTCTATGCCGTGGATCTTAGCACTATGGGTCTTGATGCTATGACTTCCGCGGCAGGCTGTGCCGCAATAAGGGCAGCTGACTAACCCAAGGGGCTGTAGCTGTTGGTTGGTATAGGTCTCGGCCGGGTGTTTTTTGCGTATATGCTCTAGGGTATCTCTATAGCTGCCTTGGCAGGTAGGGCATACCTGCGAGGGCATTTTGCTATAGGGTAGGTAGGGTATAGGGTAGCTAGGTAGCTAGATAGCTAGGTTAGCTAAGTAGCTAGATAGCTAGGGTAGCTAAGTAGCTAGATAGCTAGGTTAGCTAAGTAGCTAGAGGTATAGGGTAGCTAGGATAGCTAGAGATAGCTAGAGGTATAGGGTAGCTAGGATAGCTAGAGATAGCTAAAGGTATATAATAACTAGAGATAAATAAAGAGATAAAAAGAGCTATAAGGCTTAGAGGCTAAGCATAAGGTTAAAGCTAAGTATAAAAAGCTAGGTAGAAATAAAAGAGACTTATATAACCCTAGGGTTATTCTAGAAGATTCTAACCTAAGCCTAGCATAACCCTGACCTAATGCCTGACCTAAAGCCTGACCCAATGCCTGATCCAATGTGTGACCCTAACCCTGACCCTAACCTCTATGGAAAGCTCTAGAATCTCTATAGAAGCCCAGAGGGCTTCTATCTATAGCTGACCCAAACCCTGACCCTAACCTTGACCCAATGCCCGACCCTAACCTCTAGAACCTCTATAAAAGCCCAGAGGGCTTTTATCTATAGTAGGTCTTAAACTAAGTAAACAGGCTTCGGGTTAGACCTAGATTTATTTAGGTCTATTCATGACCTATACTACTGCTCTGTTTTGTAACCTGGGTTTGAAACCCCCACCCCCATTGTGTCCTATCAGTCCCTACCCTCTAGCTTTTGCCCATACCACCCTTTGATATCGGAATAGAGATTGCCTCTTCTTCTGAGTTGGCCTTTAACCTCTTGCTCCTTCATTTAACCACTTAATCATCGTAATCATCACCATCGCTGCTATACTGCTATACTGACTCGTCATTATCGTTGTCATTGTCACATAATATGACTTCTTTCCCGATGCCAACTATCACGCTTATGCCGACCTGAAGCCTTTCTCCATTATCGTCTAAAATGTGACCATCGTGGGATTGCATGCCAGATCGCGACATAAAAAGACCTGCTGTTATGGATTGTTTATTATCCTTATCCTTAGTATCGTGACGCGATAGTCTGCGTAGATAGTATGACTATAAATAATCTATAAATAAGAAAAGAAAGACAAGCAAAGATAGGACGAAATATAGGACGAAGGATAAAGAAAGGTCGAATACAGAAGGAAAAGGGGAAAAAGACGAGGGGCCTTCCTACCTGACCGGGAATCAACGACCCGGGTTTACCCTGGCTCGGGCCAGCGACAACCTTTGATCCGTCCTTCGACCCATCATCATGTCACCATCCCAGAAGCAGCATGGGTTGGTTAGTGTGGCTTCCCCCGTCACCTAATGAAACCCCTTGATACGCCTGGTCGTCAAGGGCTCGCGTGTGGCGTTTTACCCCGGCACTATACAATAAGGGAAATTGCTTCTTCCATGCCGCCTCTTTCGGACACATAACAGGATCGAGACTGGTCTCTTGGGACCGACCCCTGGAGCGGTGGATGTTTCTAAACCCGGGGTTGAGAGACCTTGACCACTCTTCTTGCCTTCTAGATCAATGCCGCTTAAACATTTTAACTCGCGTATTTCTACAAAGTCTATCGCCTAACTCGAGCAAGAAAGATATCGCCAATCATTAACCACCAAGGTTCAATGTTCCCCTCTGCAGCTAAGCGTCTAACAACGACAACAGGAGGCCAACGACGCGCGATAGTCCGTCCCAGAAAACGACAGAGGATAGAGACAGGCGCTGAGCTACCCTGCACCTCCCGGCTAACTTATAGGGAGGCCATTGGCGATGCAGAGTCAGCTAGAGAGCAGGCCGAGCAGCATCGTATTATTACAGCGCGAATGCCGCTCCACGCTCTCAAGACTGAATGGAGCATAGGAGAAAACAGACAAGTGGATTGGAAACACGTGCAGAAGCTATGTGGGATCTTTAAGAAGGGTGGTGTGAAGCGGAAGGCAAGAGAGAATCGCATATTAGTGTTGTGCGACCGAGAGGATGTTTTCAAGATGAAGAGGCACATGGGTTTGGATGAAGACGCCCAAGTCTCACCGGAAGGAGAACTTCTTTTCTTTGAGGATTGGTGCTCAGTCCACGGGAACAACGGCAAGGTCGAGGTGATGGCGGGCCAGCATCGAATCAAGGCGCTAGAGACGTACGTCCTTCAGATGAGGATGGAGAGGAAAGAGCTATGGTGGATATGCGACTTCTACGACCGTCGTACGCTACCCGACCGGGCGAATCTCCAGCTACGAGTCAACCGCAAGGACCCCGTGATGGTGGATAGCCACGGCCAGATCTGGGCGCAGGTAGTGGCGGCGTCGAGCAAGAACGATAAGCTCCTACGAGAGGACAAGACGGATATTCTAAAGGCTAAGATCACCGAAACTCTTCACCTGAGTAGCGACATTTACTTCCCCATTTCCAGGCTTATGACGATTTGGAGGAATGAGAGGTGGAGGGAGATGACAAGCCAATGGTGCGAGACGACAGTAGGACGGGATACCTTTAAGATTTCGACTTGGAATTAGATGATCTCCTATAGGATAGACGATGTAAGTCTCTGCCTTTCCCACACGCCCTAAGGCTCAACGTAATCGACTCTTGCTAATCTGGGTACGGGTTGGTTGGCGATATAGTACTGGTTCTCGGCATTCCGTAGTGTGCTGCGCACGCTGTCCCAATTACCAGGAGATGCCAAGAAGAAAGTTTCCGGAGCAGACTGGGAGCAGATTTCGAACTCGCTTCCTGCAAATCGCCGAGAGGCTGACGTGCAGGAGCTATTCTATCCTAGCCGAGCGGCACGGGGTACTGGTGCCATGGTCGAACGCCAACCTGGCCTTCTTGCCCTGCTTGGGGATGAAGCATACCGGGAGGTATACACGCGCATCGCAAAGACACCGCGGCTATGCTTTGTCCCTATCCATCGCCTATTGGATCTATCGCAAGATGATGGGCGCGTCTTGTTTCAGGTGATGACCCACGTTGTGTCGTGGCTGAATTCCGCGCCGACGGTCATCACGAATCAACGAGATAACAGGAAGCCAGCACTGAGGAGCGATCTAGTACTAAGGCTTCAATACTGCTCGGCCCAGTTTGTGCGAGCGACGGAGAGAAGGTTGGATATGTTTCTATGGGATGACGACGATACGAGGAGAGCAGGCATGGCATTGGTGGATTTACCTGCAGAAGCTGCATCTGTCATGCTCCAGCAGGAAGTCGTCGACTTTGCCCGAGACCGCCTAAAGGACCTCAAAGCCCCGGCTGTGAAGGCGTACCTCAAACAACCCTGGAACCAGGCTGAAGATGAGGACGGAAGCATATATGCCAAGCGATTTGCTGACGAGGCATGGCTAGGGCTTCTCGGGATTGTCCGCCGGTATGTGGGAGACGATTTTCGTGAGCAGTGGACGGCCTACTACTACTGTACGCAGTCGTGAAGTAACTCGTTCAATTACATAGAAACTGGTCCGTGCACGCTACTAGAACGTCTGTGCACGTGTCGTGGATTACTGTAATTCATCTAATTTCCACCATTATGGCCCGTGCACGTTGCTGGGTCATCCGTGCACGCGTCGCGGCTTATTGTATTTCATTGAATTACCTAAATTAAACACCCCCTTCTCCTACTTCTATACCTCACTTCCCTCTTATAACCCCATTCTTTTAATTACTATTCTTACGAACTAGAGTATTATCTAGTAGGTAGTATAATGGCTAACCCTGATCTCTTGGGCTCCCTTCATCTATTCTACGACGCTGAAGCGCGTGTCCTGATCTGCACCCGCGATCAATGCAAGTTTGCATTATCCACGGGGCCATCACGCGTGACAACACATCTTCGTGATAAGCACAACATCCCCTCCGAGGAAAGGAAAGGGCTCAGCCGACTTCTCAAGTCCTTGCCCCCACCCGGGCTCCTCGACCCCGATGAGGCCCCGCCTCGAGCCGACAGGTCTGCCGAGCACGACAAGCTGCGAGTATACGAAGGTTTTGCCTGTGTCCACTGCGTATTCCGTACCATCAGCCTCCAGCTCATGCGGCGACACCTATCCGGTCCTCAAGATGACTGCCCTTTCCAGAATACTCAAAGCCGCATCCGTCGCCGTCGCGATCTCGACCAGCAGTTTGAGTGCGTCTACCTACAGACATGGACGACTGGCTCTACGCGGAAATACTGGATCATCCAGCGAGGTGGAAGCGTTATCCGGCCGTTGGATGGCCCGGCGGTCCAGTCCCACCTGCGAGCCGTGCTGATGCGGGAACTGGGCCGCCAACAGCGCCCCCCTGCGCCAGAGCCGGGTGTGACCGAATTCGCGTTGAAGAGGCCCTGGCTGGAGCGAACTAGATGGGATCGGACGTTTAGCGACAGAGGCCGCCGCGACTTGCTCGCCGCCCTGACACGGACTTGTACTTCCCCGGGCGGACGGGAGTATGTCCTTGGATGTCCTGAAGGGGTCGATGAGGACCTTGTTAGTCCGGGTAGAGACGAGGACCTGATCGCCTTCTTCCTCTGTCTTGCTGATGTCATGTTGGACCGGTGCGAGGAGACGGTGAGGAATACTAGCCGACATATTCTCTGCTGGCTCAAGAGCACTCAGACATCCTCAATCTATAGCAAGCCCTTCACGCTCGTGCAGCTTCCTTCATCTTCAGCTAAGTATCGGCTCATACTTAAACGATGTCTGGCGATGGTCTTTCGCCTCTACCGAATGGCCCCTGATATGCGTATGCGGGCTGCGGGCCTGTCACTGAGTCGGAAGCAGCTGCAGATCCTGGATGCAATGTGGGCACACGAGGCAGCTGGGGACTCGGCCGGACTAGAGAAGCTCGCTGGCAAGTATAGGAGTCCGATTCGTCGTGGTCAAGCAGCTACCGACGATGAGGAGGACGAATGCGGCGTTGAGTATAACGATGAAGCGGAGGAGGAGCAAGACGACGATGACGAAGACGACGAAGACGAAGACGAAGACGAAGACGACGAAGAGGAGGGGGGTGATGGTCTGGATGAGGATCGGGGCTTCACCACGTGGATAGACGACCTTAGGGTTAGGGTTAGGGTTAGGGTTAGGGTTAGGGTTAGGGTTAGGGTTAGGGTTAGGGTTAGGGTTAGGGTTAGGGTTAGGGTTAGGGTTAGGGTTAGGGTTAGGGTTAGGGTTAGGGTTAGGGTTAGGGTTAGGGTTAGGGTTAGGGTTAGGGTTAGGGTTAGGGTTAGGG